CTGCACTATCTCTTTTTGCTGATGAATTCATTGAGTTCGCTGTTACTGCCTTCAGTGATTCACTTTCAGTTGTATGTGGTGATTTCAATTCATGTGACTGTAGCTTCCTTACATCACTAGGTCACCAAAATGTAGTGGATTTTCCTACCCGTTTGAATGCTCATCTAGACTTCGTCTTCATTAATGATGTGGGTATATATGCGACTCGTAAACGTGCTCCATTGTCTAGCTCAGATCACTGTATAATTCGTGTTCTACCTAAAGTATATGGAAAGCATGGGAAGAGTACACTCTTACGTCGAACCAGGAAAGTCAAATATAGGAATTACTCAGAAGAAAATATCCGAAATCTGAAAAACATGTTTCATACGACTAACTGGGAATTATTTACAGATGACTCACTCGAAAACGCTACTGATGTTATCACTTGTTACCTTAAATTCTGTTTTGATATTTGTTGTCCCATCGAAACCATTTTTGTAAGTTTTGATCGACTTACATCTTCACAACTAAAACGACTACGAAGGATGAAAGAAAGAATGTACAAGGAGAAGAACTCTAATGAAGTTCGTAAACTAAATGGTCTGATAAACCTAGAGATTAGACGTCTCAACTGTATGTTTACTCAAAAGCTCTTATCTTGCAAAAACACTCCAAGTATGTGGAAATTCTATAAAGAATTTACAGATGACAGAAAGTTTAGCAGCGATAACCAGCTGAATGTTTGTGACTTAAATAAGTCTTTTGTACGTCAGTCATCTGATGTGATGCTCCCTCTATCCACGGGTTTAAAAAATAGCTGTGTTCCTACTTTCACTGAAACTGATGTACGAGGATGTCTCCAGTCGCTTAATTCATCTGGATGTTTGGGACCTGATGGTATCCCAAACATCCTTTTTAAAAAATGTGCTGACGTTCTGTGTCATTCGTTCACAATTATATTTAACAGATCCTTCTCATCTAACCTCATACCGAAAATGTGGAGAAAGATGAAGATAATTCCTGTACCCAAGAAAGCATTTGGTGATAAGAATGTAAAATTTAGACCTATTGCAATAACAGGCTGTGCCATGCAGTCAAAATTTCCTCTACCACAAAACAACGTGCTCAGCAGAAAGAGAAATGATTAGTAGGTAATTGTTTGGCACCTGGAAATCGGTAGTAGTATTACTAACAAGGTGAAATATATATCTATAAAAATTTGAGTAACTGTCCCAAACTGACAATCAAATGTCAATAATTATCAACTAAAACACGTCTTAAGCTTGAGCTTAGTGAAATACGACACCAGTATCAGTGGCTTTGCAACCTACAACAATGAAGTTAGCTAATAAAGGTAGATCTTTGACCAAATTCAACTAATAAAAGTTCAGACAAAGAAGACTGAAGAATATGAAACATGGTTGAAAGAGACCTGAGCAAAGGTTAAAATAGAGTACAGGGGAAAAGAACAAGGAAATAACGATATAATTCAATTAAACAATATGAGGGATTTCTAGCTTACCCAGTCGCTCCTGGTATGCATTCTGTAATAACCTTCAGAGCACAAATTGATAATTCTGATGATAAAACGCTTATTGCTTCCTTTCTAGCCTCTTCGTGCATCAGCACGTCAGATGAAGTAACAGAGAGTTAGCTCAAAATGCGGGTAAGAATTTCACACAAGGTTTAGTCAACGTGCCAAAAATACAAGTCAAATTTATATTCGTACGTGATCTTCTTGTTGTGACTTTCTGGACCGCTTGTTATCACGTAATATATTCGCCAATCAAAATACGACTTATTCGCTCTTATACTGTACTAAGTCAATGACATCCGAACGGTCTGATCAGCCTAGCGTCCTATTGGTCCGTTGCTCGCCTAACCCGTCCAGCTGAGTCCAGAATGCCAATAACAGCCTCCACTATGCGAATCATTTATTTCAAACATACTGGGTTTATATACCAAACAAACAAACCGCAATGCAGCATAAAATAGGAAATAACATTCATATACAATAAAGCCAAAAAGTGGCTGTGAATGTGAGAGGCAGTAGTCAATAAACTGAACATAGCTTAAGAACAGTAAATCGTACAGTAATAATATATAGGTCGCAATAAAGCTTATAACAAGGGGAATATAGATATACATAACCTGGTTACTGAATATTTATACCATAAGAATATGTAAATAATAATAGTCGATTAATAGGTCTCGGAAGTTACTCGTAATGTAATCTTGACTAGGACATGACACTTCGGCTTCTGAAATTTTCCGGAAAAATTAAACATAATAACAGTATAGTCCATTATAATCAAAGACACGACTATTCATTTCCTAAATGTCATTTAAGAGTTTAAATCCCAAATCTATCGAATGAAACATTTCCTGCCGCGTTTTGGTCCTTCAGAGAAATTGATGAGGGATATTTCGGAAACTCTTGACGCAAATTATTGTGATTATTATTTCGTTGAAGGCTGTGGGAATGTAGTGTTTTAATGATTAGATAAGTGTCTGTAAATTAAACCAGGGGTAGCAGTCTCTCTTGACAATGTTCGCGGCGATCTTACGTACATTGCGCACTGGACGTAATGATTTGTCGTAAGAGCTTTGTGTGGTTTCCAGTGTTAGTAGAGATGGTGACACTTGAAGAGACTGTTCAAATCAATTTTGCCAGCACATAAATGGGTTGTTATTTCGACGCAAACATTCCACACTTTAGAAGAGGTGTTTTAATCCCAGTAAGCTTTATTGAACTACAGACTTCATTGCTAATGATATGGGGATCCGCGACTTGACCTACTGAAATCCAGGTGATATAAATAAATATATATATATGAAGTCAATCAAATATCAATGTTTCTCACTAGACGTCGACATTATTTGCGGTCAGCAAGGGAAATGAAAAATACCTCACTTTCCAGTGAACCTTAGAAGATTAGTTGTGTAAAACATGGTTAAATAATCTTTCATACAGAGCAAGCGTTTGATCTAGATATCACAGAAACTCGAGCTATGCATTCGAGTTACGGAACAGACTGGATTTGTCGAGTATGTAGGCTTCTAAGGATTTATTGTGACACGATAACTGTAGTCAGAATTTTTTCATGAACTTGACTTGTTTATCCGTCATAGCATTCAGTAGCTTTTGGTGTCACTAAAATCATAGACTCGAATTACACATTCTGAGCTTTTTGAATATAGAAAGTAAATAATTGGTAACGTGGCAGGAGTAACGTTCAGAGGCTAGTGTCCAAGCAGTAAGAATAAACAAAACTACATAAGTGGTTTCATTTATGGAAACACACATTTCAATGAAACTAATGTCTTAATAGTATTACGTGGTTTAATTTATGCTAAACAACGATAAAAAATACCAAAAATGTTTGGAGGAAATAATAAACGAAGTGCAATTATGAGCACTTTTGATAAAAGTCCGGTGATCGAACAATTTACTATCTCAATATTACGGAACAGTTTACTTAACCACTATCCGCTGGTTGGATTTATATTATATCATATTATAATAGTCATTCCGATCATTTGATAATATTCGGCTACATCAGAACAACACAAAAATGATAAAGTGTACTTCTCAAGACCGCACCATAATGTGATTACAGCAAGAAATTACGTGAGTCAGTCACATTGTAAATGTGAGCATCGGTCTCAGCAAAGCAAAATAATATATTGTTTACGGTCAGAAAAGTGAAGACGAGTTTGACACGACGGAATTTTGCACTGATATCCCAATCTCCTACATTGACATGTTCACCGAGGTTCTTAGAAAAAAAGTTAAGAATGACTGGGTGGGAAATATTTGAATTGTAGATAGAGGTTAGTAGATTACAATTTCTAAGCTAGGAAGTCTCGGACGGAAATGCGTCTCACGACAAGTTGAAGCCTGACGTATATCTGACGTTTGGGCCTGCGTATTCAGCTAGTTGTGTTCTCAACATAATAAATATGATCAGTACTACTGCTAACCGGTTGAAAAGTTATTAACTTTGGGGAATTACTGATTAGTATGGGGATAAATCATCATATAGTGGAAATAATAATATAGGTTGAATACCCCTAGCAAGTCTGGAAAATTGATGTACAAAATATCCGAAAACTAAAACTAAAAAAATGAAATAGTGAAGTTTGGAAAGAACTGGAAGATATTTTTTAGTGCACAGATCGACCCACCACTTGAAAGCTCTTCATACACAGGAACTAAATAATTCTGATACAAGGCTACCTGATACATATACAGAAGACAAGCAGCAATGGTCTAACGTTTGGAATTAGTGATATGCTTGGTTCTAAACACCTGCATATATCACTAACGTAGATGATCTATGTCGAAAGATTGCGGGCATACTCGAGTTAGACGGGAGCAGTGTGACTAGCAGCTAACTTCGAAGTCACATCTCGCAGTCAGAACCTAACGAGGTTTACCTCACTGTCGCATCAAGGTACTACTGCTGCTTTGGAGATCGTATAACACAGAGGACTTTATTACAGAATTATATTAGTTAGAGTAGGAATAAGTGAAATTGTGATCACTACCACATGGGCCAGTTCACGGCGTACGATTAATTGTTGGTTGTCCATGACGTTTACAGTGGTTGATGATCTATTTAATATTCAGTTACCCAAATGCCGGATGATTTGGTCAGGGCTGAGGGAAAATTCACTGGCCCTACACATGCAAGTCGTCATAAAAATACTAAGATGGGCATTTAGAAGCTGAAAATTAGCCTCAAAAGCTCCGTAGCAGAATGTAGCATAGATCGCAGATCGAGTTTTTCTAACTAAAAGTAATTATTAAAACCTAAGTTGGCAATTCCTGCAACGTATCGATAGTTACTAACACTTGTCTTTATGCTACATCCCTACCTTGGGGGAATGACTGAGTATCCGAGAATCAAGCACGATAATATTCGTTGAATCTATAGATGACATTAAGTATGACTGGCATACTATTCCCATCAATAGTAATTAAAGTATATGGTTTCACCGGGTGGAAACTGAACGTCGTACGTTTTTAACCGCGTATTTAACAGTAGTGCCAACATACGATGGATTTCTATGATCATGGATACGAAGAGAACAAACTGTGAGTGTGCTGTAAAAGTGAAGTGGAATATTAGTAATTTCAACGAGTCAGGGTTTGACCTTAAATATTACAGCTTATTGAACAGTGGTGAAGTGCTTTTCATTCAAAAGTTACTTTAGTTTAAAGTAGCTGTTTATCGAAATTCATAGTCAACGATTAGTCTGTGTAATCAGTCTTTCGTAGGAGAGATTTAGTAACTAAATTTTATGGATACCTTTGTCTTTGCGGATGCAAATATGAGACGGTCATTGTTTCATACCTCAGGAGTGATAGGCATAGGTGTGGAAAAGAAGGTGGCATACTTCAGTAATAAGGATAGGAGGTCTATTGACCTATATTAATCCTTGCAGTTTGTAATACTGTGGAGGTCCAACCTCGTTTTGAATATATTAACAGACGGTGCTGATATTACGTGTTCCGGTAGAATTCCAGTAACTCACTACTCGGTGCGAGAAACGGAACTCCAGACGTAAACGGTTTGATCTCGGTTTTTGAACTTTCTTCGGATGTCCTCTCAAATGATCGGTTCTAGACGGAAGCAAAAGATAAGACATGTTAATACCAAGGTCATCGTTCAGTATACGATAGGCCAATATTAGATCACCCCGTATTCTACGGCAAGATAACGGAAATAAGTTAAGGTGTCTCAGTCTGTCTTCATAAGATAGGCCAGATAGACCTTGTACCATCTTAGTAGCTCGTCGTTGGACTCTTTCTAGCATATCTGCTTCGTACTTGAAACAAGGACACGCTGCTTGAATCCCGTATTCTAAATGTGGTCGCACATAAATCGGGTATAGTAATCTAAACATTTCATCGTCTAAATACTGGAAAGACCTACGAATTGACCATAATACCCTATAGCCTTTTGCAGCAGCAGCCTTACAGTGACTAGTGGTTTTGAGATCATTGCTTAATATGACTCCTAAATCTTTATAGTTTCTTGCTTTGGGTAGCACGAATACACGCAGTGTATAGTGATACGATTCGTCAGAGTTATTTAACTGCATCACTACACTCTTATTAGGATTTACTTCTAGTGACCACCTGTCTAACCATGCCACCAATCAGCTAAGATCATCCTGTAATACCATTCTATCCAACATACTATGTATGGGTCTCCAAACCTTTATGTCATCAGCGAAGAGTAGGACGGATGATTTTGCTACAGTTGGCAATTCATTTACATAAAGTAAAAAGAGAAGAGAACCTAGGATTGTACCTTGGGGAATCCCACTTTTTACAGGTACCCACGAGGAGAGAGCTCCATTAACCCTTACCCTTTGTCTCCTGTCATGGAGAAAGTTACTTATCCAATCGACGACTGTATAATGGATTCCAAAACGTTCCAGTTTGAATTTAAGACCAGAGTGGGAAACCTTATCAAAGGCCTTACTTAGATCTGTGAAAATCACATCCACAGGAACATTCCGATCTTTTGCAGCAGCCCAATCTTCTCTTGCAATGAGAAGATTTGTCAAGCAAGATAGGCCTTTCCGAGAACCATGTTGTGCCCTGGAGAAAAGATTTTGCCCTTCAACATAGTTTATAACAGCTATCCGAATGATTTTCTCAATCAGTTTTACAACTGCACTAATTAAGCTAACGGGTCTATAGTTACTAAATCCCTACTCCCAGCCTTATACATCGGACTTATTATGGCGTCTTTCCAGTCTCTAGGAAGTCTGGACTGTCTCAGAGACATGTCGAATAGTATCGCTAATGGTTCAGCAATTTCATCTGATATGGCTTTCATAATCCTAGGATGAATATCATCAGGACCGCTGGACTTATCAGGTTTGAGATACTGAAGTAGCCTTAAAAGAGTACCTTTCTCAATGACTACAGGATCCATCAGCGAGCCGTCACGGTCACGATGAATCGTTGGTCGTTCCTCATTACCAATAGAAAATACTTCACTAAAATATTCCGATAAAGCTTCATCCTTTTCGGCATCATTTTCTGCCAAGATTAACGGATTTTCTTGTATCAAAAGTGATGGAATCCTATCGCTTCTTTGAGTTCGCCTTTTTATATACGAGAATAACCGTTTCGGACCATATCTAGAATCCCTAACCAATTGTTTTTCGTATGATAGTCTAGTCTTACTTGTTAACGCTTTACAGGCATTCCTAATCTTACAATAACTGGATCTGTATTGTTCTAAGCCAGTAGAGATGAACATATTCCAGTGATTCTTCCTTTTTCTAAGAAGTTTCCTGACCGTTTTAGTTATCCATGGTGGACTGTTAATCGGTCTTCGCGGTACCAGGTATGGTATGAACGGGGACGTAACTAGTCTAAATTTACCTTTAAATACAGACCATGCTTCTTCAACTGATAAGCTAGTATCTACTAACCAATCTGTCTTAGCAGCGCATTCCTGAATGGCTGATATGTTAACTTTCCATAAATTTGGGCGAGGTGTAACCTGATCGCTGTTCACTAATGGTGGAAGAATATTTAGGTCGACAATATCCTCAGTCTCATGAGTGATTACCAAGTCGAAAAGAGAAGGACCTTGGTTAACACCAAAACGTGTGGGTTTGGATACATGCTGCACTAATGCATGCTCCATTATTGTTATCATGAACCTACTATCAAAGGAGTTTATAGATCCTTCTGTGGTCATCTCAGTCCAGCTAATATCAGGTGCGTTAAAGTCTCCTATTATCAAGCATCTGTTACTTGCACTCCAAAGATGAGTGTGCTCTAAAATAAAGTCATCAGTTAAGCAGATTGGGCTGCGATAGATGACACCTAGCATAAATGTACTACATCCTATAGCCAACTTACAGCTAATGACTTCACAAGTACCGCTATCATGGGATTCGCTAGTAGAGGAGCGGATATTTATGCTATTGTCTATATATAAACTGCGCTATCTAAAAAGGACAGTGGTATTGTTTCTCGTTGAATTAGTTAACTGTTTTGATCGTAAATTACGTATCAAAACTACGATTTACACTTTAATTGAATCTACTACAGTTAAAGTTATATTCTATTGAGTTTTTTGGCTTTTGTGTATTTATTACATTCGAAAGCAATCTTGGTCTGTACCAAAGTACTTTATTTAAGGTTTGAAATCTTGCTAAAGTTTGTCTTGTGGTAACCTTTTATTCGTTGACTGACATTTGTGTTCATACTGTGATCATATTGTGTGTTACACCTTGATCTGACTAAAATGGTTGGTAGTACTCACAAATGTGGACAACCAAAGTGTTTGTTCCCTATGGAGGAGGGAATGCAATGTGACGAATGCAATAAGTGGTTCCACAAAATGTGCACCTGTTTAAGTCCCACTGCATACGAAAGATGTCCGAAGCCTAACTCACATTGGCTTTGCATGTTTTGCTGTGCCAACAAGGCATTACTGTTACAGGAGGCTATGAGCCTATTGGCTTTGGCCTGTAAGAAGAACGGTGGCATATGCGCTGACAACACGGGCACTGACAGTGACGAATGTGTCAGTGTAGTGCCTGCTGTTACGCGACGCCTCAGACAACCGACTCTGACAGACGTAAAAGTGAAGTCTCCGTTGAAATTAACTGGAGGAGTAGTACCACCTGGTACTGACATTGTTAATAATGCACCTTTAGTAGGAACCGAAGATCTGGATAAAACAGTCACCGTTCCAAATAGTCCCAGTGTTATGAGGGATGAAAAATGGACTACGGTACGTAGGAAACGAAACGAAAAGAAAAAAAGCTGTAGGCAGTACACAGGTAGTTAGTAACTCACTGGTGGACTCAAATTGTGAGCCACAAATTGTACTACCAAAATCTGATGGTACGAATGAATCTATTACGTAGACTACGAGCGTTGGCATATAAAACTCCTAAGTAGAACAGCCTATCCACACAGGCCTTGGTAGCATTCGCTTCTAAGACCTGACTATCCGAAAACCCACTAGTCGGAGATTTTCCTCGCCGTTTTGCCGACGGGTTTCAAGTTCAGCTAGTGTTTTCTTACTTTTTATTCTATCTTCGAGAGGCATGTCAGGTCTAACTCGGATGTCAGAATTGTCGTGACAACGAGCGCTGCTTAACAAGAGATCACGTTGCTTCTCCGACCTTAGGATTACCTTAAGGAGTCTGCATGGACGAGGTTCAACATTGTCCTCGGTCCTCTTGCCTATTCTAACCAATTTTTTGACCTGAACTCCCTTGGAGTTATCTGGTAAAATACTACGAATGTATTCTCCTAGCTCTTCTAAGTCATGCGCGTGTCTAATTTAGGGGTCAAAGTCGTTTGACTCCCGCAATTTGCTCGCAATGATATTCGATGTTATTAGATTTTTCTTCTCAGTCATGCCAGGATGGGTTTCACTCTTACCATCAGATTTTGGTAGTACAATTTGTGGCTCACAATTTGAGTCCACCAGTGAGTTACTAACTACCTGTGTACTGCCTACAGCTTTTTTTCTTTTCGTTTCGTTTCCTACGTACCGTAGTCCATTTTTCATCCCTCATAACACTGGGACTATTTGGAACGGTGACTGTTTTATCCAGATCTTCGGTTCCTACTAAAGGTGCATTATTAACAATGTCAGTACCAGGTGGTACTACTCCTCCAGTTAATTTCAACGGAGACTTCACTTTTACGTCTGTCAGAGTCGGTTGTCTGAGGCGTCGCGTAACAGCAGGCACTACACTGACACATTCGTCACTGTCAGTGCCCGTGTTGTCAGCGCATATGCCACCGTTCTTCTTACAGGCCAAAGCCAATAGGCTCATAGCCTCCTGTAACAGTAATGCCTTGTTGGCACAGCAAAACATGCAAAGCCAATGTGAGTTAGGCTTCGGACATCTTTCGTATGCAGTGGGACTTAAACAGGTGCACATTTTGTGGAACCACTTATTGCATTCGTCACATTGCATTCCCTCCTCCATAGGGAACAAACACTTTGGTTGTCCACATTTGTGAGTACTACCAACCATTTTAGTCAGATCAAGGTGTAACACACAATATGATCACAGTATGAACACAAATGTCAGTCAACGAATAAAAGGTTACCACAAGACAAACTTTAGCAAGATTTTAAACCTTAACTAAAGTACTTTGATACAGACCAAGAATGCTTTCGAATGTAATAAATACACAAAAGCCAAAAAACTCAATAGAATATAACTTTAACTGTAGTAGATTCAATTAAAGTGTAAATCGTAGTTTTGATACGTAATTTACGATCAAAACAGTTAACTAATTCAACGAGAAACAATACCACTGTCCTTTTTAGATAGCGCAGTTTATATATAGACAATAGCATAAATATCCGCTCCTCTACTAGCGAATCCCATGATAGCGGTACTTGTGAAGTCATTAGCTGTAAGTTGGCTATAGGATGTAGTACATTTATGCTAGGTGTCATCTATCGCAGCCCAATCTGCTTAACTGATGACTTTATTTTAGAGCACACTCATCTTTGGAGTGCAAGTAACAGATGCTTGATAATAGGAGACTTTAACGCACCTGATATTAGCTGGACTGAGATGACCACAGAAGGATCTATAAACTCCTTTGATAGTAGGTTCATGATAACAATAATGGAGCATGCATTAGTGCAGCATGTATCCAAACCCACACGTTTTGGTGTTAACCAAGGTCCTTCTCTTTTCGACTTGGTAATCACTCATGAGACTGAGGATATTGTCGACCTAAATATTCTTCCACCATTAGTGAACAGCGATCAGGTTACACCTCGCCCAAATTTATGGAAAGTTAACATATCAGCCATTCAGGAATGCGCTGCTAAGACAGATTGGTTAGTAGATACTAGCTTATCAGTTGAAGAAGCATGGTCTGTATTTAAAGGTAAATTTAGACTAGTTACGTCCCCGTTCATACCATACCTGGTACCGCGAAGACCGATTAACAGTCCACCATGGATAACTAAAACGGTCAGGAAACTTCTTAGAAAAAGGAAGAATCACTGGAATATGTTCATCTCTACTGGCTTAGAACAATACAGATCCAGTTATTGTAAGATTAGGAATGCCTGTAAAGCGTTAACAAGTAAGACTAGACTATCATACGAAAAACAATTGGTTAGGGATTCTAGATATGGTCCGAAACGGTTATTCTCGTATATAAAAAGGCGAACTCAAAGAAGCGATAGGATTCCATCACTTTTGATACAAGAAAATCCGTTAATCTTGGCAGAAAATGATGCCGAAAAGGATGAAGCTTTATCGGAATATTTTAGTGAAGTATTTTCTATTGGTAATGAGGAACGACCAACGATTCATCGTGACCGTGACGGCTCGCTGATGGATCCTGTAGTCATTGAGAAAGGTACTCTTTTAAGGCTACTTCAGTATCTCAAACCTGATAAGTCCAGCGGTCCTGATGATATTCATCCTAGGATTATGAAAGCCATATCAGATGAAATTGCTGAACCATTAGCGATACTATTCGACATGTCTCTGAGACAGTCCAGACTTCCTAGAGACTGGAAAGACGCCATAATAAGTCCGATGTATAAGGCTGGGAGTAGGGATTTAGTAACTATAGACCCGTTAGCTTAATTAGTGCAGTTGTAAAACTGATTGAGAAAATCATTCGGATAGCTGTTATAAACTATGTTGAAGGGCAAAATCTTTTCTCCAGGGCACAACATGGTTCTCGGAAAGGCCTATCTTGCTTGACAAATCTTCTCATTGCAAGAGAAGATTGGGCTGCTGCAAAAGATCGGAATGTTCCTGTGGATGTGATTTTCACAGATCTAAGTAAGGCCTTTGATAAGGTTTCCCACTCTGGTCTTAAATTCAAACTGGAACGTTTTGGAATCCATTATACAGTCGTCGATTGGATAAGTAACTTTCTCCATGACAGGAGACAAAGGGTAAGGGTTAATGGAGCTCTCTCCTCGTGGGTACCTGTAAAAAGTGGGATTCCCCAAGGTACAATCCTAGGTTCTCTTCTCTTTTTACTTTATGTAAATGAATTGCCAACTGTAGCAAAATCATCCGTCCTACTCTTCGCTGATGACATAAAGGTTTGGAGACCCATACATAGTATGTTGGATAGAATGGTATTACAGGATGATCTTAGCTGATTGGTGGCATGGTTAGACAGGTGGTCACTAGAAGTAAATCCTAATAAGAGTGTAGTGATGCAGTTAAATAACTCTGACGAATCGTATCACTATACACTGCGTGTATTCGTGCTACCCAAAGCAAGAAACTATAAAGATTTAGGAGTCATATTAAGCAATGATCTCAAAACCACTAGTCACTGTAAGGCTGCTGCTGCAAAAGGCTATAGGGTATTATGGTCAATTCGTAGGTCTTTCCAGTATTTAGACGATGAAATGTTTAGATTACTATACCCGATTTATGTGCGACCACATTTAGAATACGGGATTCAAGCAGCGTGTCCTTGTTTCAAGTACGAAGCAGATATGCTAGAAAGAGTCCAACGACGAGCTACTAAGATGGTACAAGGTCTATCTGGCCTATCTTATGAAGACAGACTGAGACACCTTAACTTATTTCCGTTATCTTGCCGTAGAATACGGGGTGATCTAATATTGGCCTATCGTATACTGAACGATGACCTTGGTATTAACATGTCTTATCTTTTGATTCCGTCTAGAACCGATCATTTGAGAGGACATCCGAAGAAAGTTCAAAAACCGAGATCAAACCGTTTACGTCTGGAGTTCCGTTTCTCGCACCGAGTAGTGAGTTACTGGAATTCTACCGGAACACGTAATATCAGCACCGTCTGTTAATATATTCAAAACGAGGTTGGACCTCCACAGTATTACAAACTGCAAGGATTAATATAGGTCAATAGACCTCCTATCTTTATTACTGAAGACTGAGACAGAAAATTATGCTTTGTGTGTTCAGATTCCTCAGTTGTAATCAGTGTACTAAGTATGCATTATCCCAAGATTCGCAAGCACACATAATTTCAGATTAGTCTGGTTCTTGGGGTTTTCTGGCTTTTTTACACAAGAATAAGTAATGATAAGAATGTAACCTCAGTTTACTTCTTATGTAAGTCTGGGTTCTTACTTATTATATTTTGAATTCGATTAGTTTTGCGTTCCACTCATATGCTAATCATTCGTTGTTTTATCAGCCCACATTTTCGCGTGCTCTTACATTATTTTGATGGTATCACCTCTACTTAAACTCCTATAGGATGCATACCTCGCAATTTTCCATACAGGTAGCATTTGTTGGATTTTCTGCACATATTCAGTCTCCCTTTGATTGTAACTCAATGAACCATTTTAGGTGTTTTCATGGCATACGTATGGTACAGATTAAATTAACAACGGGCGAGAATAATTCGTGGACGAACCAATCACGTATATGATAACAGGTCTCGGGTTTTGGCTCGAAATTCACTTCGGCTAAATAGAGTTTCGACATTATAAATGATGTCAGTTCGTGATGAAAACCATAAATCTAGTTTTTAACCTTAATCATCAACTGTAAATCATAATTCTAGTTTCTCACACAGATTTATAACCCTATTTGGTACTGGTTATTAGGTGGACACTCTCAAGGTAAGTCTAGCGTCGCTCATAGGTCGTCCATAAACTATAGTCTGACCGTAGCACGAGTAAGATTTTGTCCTGAATCATACTTATAAGATACGATATGGTTCACCATATCCACTGACATTCACATGACCAAGCTATAACAAATTTTTGGGTAGTTAATTTCGGGATGGACATAAAATGGTTGCTCCAAATCACCGTCGGTTTGTCGGTTTTAGTTTCTATAGATAGTAAACTTGTTTAGTCATTGCATTTGCATTGTTACTCAAACGAAATAAACTAGAAGTAGTCCGGCGTGGAGTAGAAAGTTTATCACTTTTCCATTTTTTAAATAGTCTTGTCACTATTCGTGAAGTTCATTGTGGACTGAATAGACATATTTTTATGTAACGTACTGGTAGTGAACTTACATAACGTTTACTACTTTTTGGCTTATAGAAAGTTCTGTCCTTTGGAATTAAGCTTTTGCCTTCTATCCTAGATCCTTTTATTTCTCACAACTTTTTAGTGGGATGACCGTTACGAGTGGTTGTGTGAAACTTAAAAAGGACCCACAGAATCTAGTGGGTATAAGTATTGGAGGGGGAGCCCCATACTGTCCGTGCCTTTACGTTGTTCAAATATTCGACTCCACGCCAGCTTCAGAAGATGGTAGTCTTCAAGCTGGAGACGAAATAACTGGTGTCAATGGTATATCTGTAAAAGGCAAGACGAAAGTGGAAGCTGCACGACTCATTCAAAGTTTCAAGGTAGGTGTTAACTTTGTTTACCCCACCTAATCGTGTTGTTTGTGATATTGTTACCTTCTTAATTAATTTATGTGCGTCAAGTAATAATGCATTAGTGTTAAGGCTTTATTAGATATATGAACCTCAAAAGCTTATTTTAAATCTTGTGAGTGTAGGGTTTGGTCAGAATAACTTAGACAGTTACAAAATCAAGGAACTCTCATGGTGTTATGTTCTTGATCATTTTCATCTGAGATTGTACTCATCTTGTTCTCCTTATGTATCTTGGCAAAATAGTAGCTATAATTCCCAAATTAAGATCCTTATTGCAATCTTTCTTTTATATATTACCACCTCTGAATTAACTACTTATATGAACCCGGTGTCCATCTTGTTGTGTTAATGAGGTATGGCAACTTGGACCGATGCATATATGTGCCTGGTCCTACGTTGTAGCTGACTGACTGAATTCCCAATTAAACCAGTTTTCAAATAAAGTATTTCTGTTTTACATCCAGTGGGTCCCACTTTTCTAAAACCGACCTTTATGCAATATAATTAGTAGTCTAGGAAAACCAAAATTACTTTATACAGTTTCGAATTTTCGAAACGTGTCAACCTCAAACCTTAAGCAAAACTCCTTTATTTATTTTATTTTATTTATTTATTCAAACATGAACATTGGTACAAGAAGGCACCAAATAAGTATGCAGCACATGAATCGCTCGATTTGTGTGAGGGCTGGGATACTGCGCGGGTGCCCAAACCGGAGTAGGTGGTTTTCTTATGGGGCCACACCCAGAACCTTTGACCTGAAAGTTTAATCAACGAGGCAGTGGAGCAACGTCTGGGTATGCAGTCCCATGGTAGCCGGTGACTAACGATTGGTTCATACTCCATTTGTTCCTTCAGCATACTGGAGCCCATGTGCAAGGTTGGTTTGGAATCAGGGTTTTCCGATTCGCCTAGGTGGACTCTACGTGTCCACCGGACATTCGCTTTTGGTCCTCTCAGCTTCGTAAACAACACCCCCGCCACGAGAAGGCAGTGAATAGGACTTCCCTAGCAGTGGTTGTATGCACGTGGCCATGTGATAGCATTTCGAGAGAGAGCTGACTCTAACCATTCTCGGTCGTACCAGGGTATTTGGAGACCTCGTATTAGTTGACACCCATCGATTATAGTCAACCACAAGAGACAAACATTTCGATCTCAATAAGTTGTCTTGTGAGTCTCACAACTCACTACCCATCTACTAGTGGTTTTGCAGTTTTTGCATTAATTGTAAACCATCGCCCAGTTTGGATAAAATAAAACGCCATCAAAACTAAATTAATATGACTCCCATCTTCTTTATCCCTTATCAGTTAACTTCTTTCATGTGGGTTTTGATGAAGTGCTATTAAATTCATCTCGTTACCCATTGCCTTATAACTTTTATATTCCCATACCTTTCCTCCCACTTAAATGAAGTGTCTGCCATTATGTCTTCCTTAATGCTTATATTTCGTCTCAAAACTCATAATTTATAGTGAAGCAATTTACAGTATTGGGTCGATATCTAACTAAGTGTGCATAAGTTGTAGCCGTATGATATACTTGTAACACAGTGATTTCCATCAGGATATGAAACATAGGGTCTCGTGTAGGACATAAGATTTAATCTGGAAATTACCATAAACAACGTAATACCATAAAAAGAGGGAGAATGGAGTTACTGACCATTAAGCAATGATGGTGAGGGTAATGATTCCAAGCCACTTATATTTGTGGGGCGGAAAGTTTTCAGTGTAGGATTTTAGTTCTTTTCTCATCATATGCCTAAATAGTTCCGAGTTTTCTACCCAAAGGTAGTATATTTAAGGAAAATATAACCTATTGTGCAACCACGAAGTAGAATGTATTCACCAGACTAACTTGGATCAATTGACGGAACTATTGATGTATAATATAAACCACCGATCCTCTTTGACTCACGATGTTAACTACAGCAGATTTTAGACCGATAGCAGTGTATTAGGCTATTAATTAATTGTCTAAATTTCATAGCCTATGCTATATTGAAATAACAAATTATTGGTTCGCAACACTAGTCGACACAAAGTTGACTCATGTAAAGAACTAAGTTGAAAAGATTTCAGTTAGTCACCTACCAACATGTATTGTGTAACAGCTGATTACACTACTTGGTTTCCCTAACCTCAGTAAGTGGGGGTTGCACTTCAAGTGGTTAAAGGCCAACCGTTTGGACTGCTAGGCCACAGATGAAAATATAAATATGTCTGGCCTTTTTCTTGATGTAAAATGTGCAGGCAGTGATGTATCTGCCTCTATTTCACATAACCTTGCTGTCGTTACTTTGTCTTTACTGAGTTTCGAAGTTTGGTGGTTTCAGTTTGTATTATTTTACCCTCTACATTGTCCTAGTTGTTTGGCATTGTATAGCTTGCTCAAGGAAAAAGGAAGTTATCTATTTTATAAAGCTTTTTTCTTATCCCATAAACAAATGTGTCTTATTGCGATTCCGTACTCTAAATTCCTGACAAATTGTTATAATAATATGTACTTTCCTAAATTTACAGACATTTTCATTCTCTGTTTATTGTAGGATGAAGTAAGAATTAACTATAACAAACTTCATGCAGACCCAAAACAAGGAAAAACGCTAGACTTAAGTAATTGTTACTTTCTTTACTTAGATTATCATAACCATCCTATCACAGTATTAAAAAAGGTGAAACATCGTATTGTTGAAACGATGGAATCTAGTACAGCCGATGCTTTAGGTCTAAGCCGAGCTATTCTTGTAAATGGTTTGTTAGATAACTTTTTTATATCAGGAAAATCATAATTTGTAGACGGTATGGTTAAAAAGTTGGAAGAACTCAATAAAACATCAAATGTGTTTTCGGGTATGGTAAATCATGCAAAAAAGTTGTTACGTGCAATCTATGAACTTTCTCGTATCTATGCTGGTAAGATGTTTTAATAAATGTTTTCTTTCATGAAAGTCATACCGAGGTTCACTTAGCTCTACTTGGTTATTGGTTTATTTTTGCGTATCTAGTACTCCATAGAGTGTATTGAGGAACTGTAATTGGGTTAATGTGCATAAATTAACAAGGTGTATACATTTTACGCAATGCTGGGTACTTGCTCCGAGGACTCAACATCCTACCGTATGATCACACCTTGAAATATATCACTGTATACACAAGTGCGCCGGGTTCTACATTACTTAGGACTGACATACTACGGTTTATACTCGGCCACTGTTTGCTATCTTGATGTGACGGTTTTGTGTACGTACTACATTTGATATTGAGATTTTGATTAGGTGACACAATGTCAGTTTTAATGTTAACCAAAGTTCTTGTTTGACGGTAATAAGGTATTGCTATAGCTACTAGTAGTAGTACCTTCAAAAAATGTTTTACTTATTGCCTGAATTCCCATTCTGTTTCTATAGTTCAGTAACGATTGGTGAGGTTTTTGAGGGGACCCAAGAAATTGTCAAGTGATGACTCAACAAATGACGCTCGATTGGTTTTTGGAACCTATAAAAACGATAGTATATTAGTGATTATGCGGTGTAAACAGAACCTCGATACCTGTTTATCTAAATAGAGTGAGAAATGTTAATTTAGCTGGCAGTTTACAATTTAGTCCCATTCCTATCAAGCACGTAAGTTAAATAACTACTAGTGTAAGTTGTTGAACAGTTTCGGGGTAACAGACCTTCATCTGCCTCAATAGTATGAAAACCCGATTCCCTATCACTAAATCATGTGTGTGAATCTCATTTCTTCTGTGAAAGCAAGCTGCGGTGTACTTATTATATTCTTCACTTAACAATCGGCCAGATTACCGTTATTACGACAATTACCATCGGTATATACTATCCAGAAAATGAAAATTGAGTGATAAAAATTTCAACGTTTTGTGCAGAATCGACGGGCATCAAAATGGGGATTCATGAGATAATAAAATGTCAGTATATTGGCATAATTATGTCAAAAATATATACTTTGTGTAGGTCCATAAAGAAATCCATGTTACCGAATCCAAGTGAAATACTAGAAAGAAACAAGGACATATATTTAGTCCAAAAATTGAAATGTCAGGTTTCTTAGTGGATACATAAGAATTGTATGAAATTAAAATGCAGGATGAAAATTACGTTTAAGTCAAAAATATTTTATTGTTAAGTATGTTGGCAGATAATGGCAAGCATTGTTTTCACTGTTTGTAAACACTATAAACGTCTTATGAAAGCCTTAAGCATCAAACAATATACCTATTCATAGAGGGACATAAGACACTTAGAATTTATTTCCCGGTCTACGTCCAACATATGGCACATTAGTGATAAAATCAGCACAGTTGCAGTCTCATTGTGCCAACTTATCGTTGATACGTTTCAGACCGATTACGTCTATATTGTACGATTATCTCAGACAATGGATGTAGATAAATATGTGAAGGGATTGGTAATAAGTCGAAATACTTTGAAATTATAAGCATTGCCCCTTCGCTGACGCCTTGAGCGTAATCCGTGATACGTTCACAAACTAGTCTAGATTCTTCTTACCGCCATCACTGAGAAAGCCAATATTCGACAAATCACACCGAATTTTCTAACAATCGACTTACGACTAAATTAATTAGTGAAAGGTACGTGTGGACAGAAATGAACGATGATATCCAACATTTGGTCCATGCCTGTTTAGTAAGCCAAAGATTTAAAGTGCATTAGCAACTACTTCTACTGAAGCACCCACTGAACCGGATAGTAGATTCAACTATTTCCACGTAGGAACCGTTGGACCGTTGCCACCACCAAACGGATATACGTATATTTTAACGTGTAATAATGGATTTACAAGATACCATTGGAAGATATGACCGCAGCAACATTGCCAAAAATTTCGCTAAGCGTTGACTAGTGAATTTCAAAGTACAAGCACTACTCACTATAGATGGGCGCGTTCTTGAGTATTAAAAGAGTTAGGGCTACAACTTATCATCCAATCACGAATGAAATGGTCTAGCGATCCTACCAACGATTGAAAGCATACTTAATAGCAGTACATAATAGTGATAAATTGCCCACAACTGTGCTTAGTATTTCTACCATTAGGCGAGATTTAAGTTGTGCTACATAGTTAGTATATGGGACACAATTAAAATTGGCGGGATAATATTTTCGACGAGCAAGAGAAGCTCTATTCAATACAAACGTTTGGATAGCTGCCTGGCTCACAGTCGAGTACATGCAACTGTACTTGTTAAATGAGTTATATTAATATTGTTTTTATTTAGTCTTCATGTCACAAATATTAGTCGTAGTCTGTGGTTTAGTACATGAGTCTGTATGTGGTTGTTGACTATTATTATCATTAACTTATAACCTCAGGAGAATTCTCTCTATAAGTAGTACCTAATTCTTATCTCCTCAGTCGTTATAGTCACCCAGTTTTTTTTAAATGTAGCAGATTGGTTGTATCATTGAGCTGTGGAAACTATTCATATATTCCCATTACTCAAAGTCAATATTAAGGTCATCACATGTGTTGGAGTTTCTGTACAAGTTATTTTCGAAACCTTTCTGAAAGAATAGTTGTAAGATAGGAAACTTTCTTATGCTAAATCCACTAGTAATATTGCTTCATTTTGTAATAAGATGTAAAATTGACAGCATGAATTAATAAATGTGGTATTTAATTTACACCTAAGTATTAAATTCTTTTGACATATTCAGAGAAACCTGTACATGTACTCTCTTCCTGAGTATATCAATGAATGTAGTAGTTTGCTTAAAATGTAAAGGTAACTAAGGAAGACATATCAATCTTCACAGCTTTCAGCACTCGCCTTTGTTTAGACTTAAGATGTGACTTAATATTGCTTCAGTATGTAGATATGTTTTATAATTGTTGTATTTCATATATGCATTCGATTTCATAGATTTCCCCATTTGCGGAAATAAGTCGTTTTGGGTTTCTTTACCGATTTGATTCCCTGGTCAGAATGGAGAGAATATTTCTGTATTTGTAGCGTTGTTCAGCATTCCAAAACATAACAATTTTATTGGTAAATCTTCATATGATTGTAAATTTATTCTAGCATATTATCAATGCTGCTTGCTTAAAATACCCATTATGTGTTTATTCATCTGGTATTTTATTTTACTTGTTAAGTATTGGGAGACACATTTTCAGAAATCGGCGTTAAAGAGCCCATGACATGCACAAGCGAAGCATTTACTCAATTTGGTACGATTCATCGAAGTATGGAGCGTTTTTCGATTGAAATGTTGAAAAAGATTAAGCCAGTATGTCATCTAATTTGATAAGAAATACTTTTTCATTAAAGCTTGAAGTTTCCTATTAATTAATAATGCCCAATTTTGCAGATTCGATGCTACTGAGCAACATTCTTATAAAAAAATTCTGGATATCTGAATTGAAATTATCTGGCCAACAAGCCACCTTTTTCTATTTTTATTTCTAACTTATCAGTAGTGTTCTCAGACTAATTCATTGCAGGAGTCAATGAGAAAAACAATCAAAATAAATATCCAGACAATGACGGGGGACATGTTGAAAATAGTCATTTACATTTAATGACAACAAAGCTATTAGCCGTATGCGAAGAAATTCTGACAGCTCACGTTTGATGTCTAGAAACGATTCAACCCCTAATCTTAAAAAACTTAGCTTCACCAAAACTCATTCGCTTCCTAATGTTTCTTTTCCCATCATCAACTTCTCTGGATTTATTCGCTCACGCGTACGTAATTAGTGCTAACCATTCGAGCTTTTGAAATATTATATTTTGTATCGTTAAACCATGCTCCAAATTACATACCGAACTGTTATAACGCTCGGTTTTACTTCGCCTAATGTTATAACGGTTGAGTTTCCACGTTTACACGTATGGGACGTTAATTTACCTTAGACGAATATCTACACTAGATTCCTCTCCAGTGTCTATTCTACAGGACTTCAACACAACTCAGATCAAGAGCACGTGATTAGCCTGACCACAACATGAATATATTTCCACACCAAAACCCGACACAATCCAACAACAATGAACAATCAATAATAAGTGATAATAATAATAAGGATAGGGGAATATATAACTCATCAAACTATCTACATGTCTGACTAAGCAGACAACCAATCATTATCATTCTCGCTCACACATTACGAACATTTCAATGTTCGAACCTTGTATTAAATCATGCAATAGGCTTCAACAGCAAAGGTTCTAGAATCCAATGCTACCGATATATCCCGTATCTGCGAAATCTACATGTGTACCATAAGTGTGGTCATTTAGCTTCTTCACCTACCCAATTTGGAGAATCAGCACGATTCATTTTTTTGCGTGTCTGGTGATTCGGCGACTACATCCCACGTTCTTGTTGGCCTAGATATAATATTGAGTTCCAAATCGAAACAGGCATTCTTGGGGTTAATTACAACTCATAGCCTGTTGTACTTTGTGAAGTTAAATGAGATATGACTCACAAAGATAAAGCTACATGCTGTTGCCTCTTCGTAGTCTACTTTTGCTTTAGTATATGAGTTAGTAGCTATATGAGTCGCAATATATCCTACATCTGAAGTTAAAAATCCTCTTATTCCAACGGACCACTTACCTTATTCATTTCTTTTCCTACTGTGTCTTATTTCTGTTTCAGATTTTCATAATCTATATTGAAACTTTCCGCCTTCTAGATTCTTACAAATCCCGACTATTCAGATTTACTGAATAATATACTCAGTTCGCTGTAAACAACAAATCATATGTTACTGTCTTCAGCTCTCATGATGAACAGCCTTCACTAGTTAAAACTTCAGCACTATCAGCTAATGATATACGGTGGACATTCAAGATACTCATTCAAAAGCATAATGTATTCAGTGTCACTAAAACGTACCCATATAATAAAAGAACTATGGGATTTATTTCATAGATATTTGTATATTCATTGGGGTCGGAAGTTGATTGCTGTCAACTATTGCATATAAACTAACTAACCTTCATTATTCCAAACCACAGTGATTACAATCGCATAACGCATAAGTAGCTTCAGATATGAAGACGGACTCTAATATTTGCAGGCACCTCTATATCTTACTTTAGTGCCCCACGTGGTATGCTTCCTGGTTCTGCTGTTTGTCATTTTTTATTTATCCGATGGCCTTGGTTGTTTCTTCTATTGTTTACGGAGTGTCATCTATGGGAAGGTGTATGTTCTGTTTTGATGTCCGGTAGGTTCAGTGGTGCCGGTCTATTCAAGAGCTCTTAAAAATGTTCTGTTCACCTGTCCTGCTGCTGTTGATCCTAAATGATTGATTTATCTTTGTTCCTTACGGGTCTCGCTGATTGATCTACTATATTTCCCTGTAAGCTTTTTTGGGGAATCATATGGTTCTTCCATATTTCCTTTTTGTCAGGTCGTCTACATATTCCCGCTTATCAGCTCATTTGTTTGCTTCTCAATATTCAGTCAGTGCCTTGACTTTCGTTGCTTTTGTTGACTGATGCCGTCTTGTTTTTTCCTTTGTTAAATCTATCCAGGCGGTGTACAAAGATCTATTCTTTATTTTGATGCTTATTGGGATTGAGCACCTCCTAACATATTAAAGCTATTGCTTCCTTAGTTCTGATATGTCGAGATAAGAAGGCGAGTTCACTCCTCTTACTTGATGTAAGGTTTTATGACATCAGTCTTGTTCCCAGTGTAACATTTTGATATTGTTTTTATTCTCAACGTACGACTTCATTCTATGTGACACTGTTTATTTTCAGCCTGACGTTAAATATTGGTTTTATACTTGTCACCCAGATCTACCAGTCTCCCACCACTCCTATTATTTGTCTTTGTTCATACCACTTCATGTTGTAATTATACTTTATATTATTCATCCCGACTTTGGCGTTTAGGTCCACCATAAGGTGTTTTCACACTCGTTTTCTGCGATGAACCTTTTTTTTCTACATGAAACCAGCTTTTTTCATCACTCCCGTCATTGATGAGAGCATTGCATTAGATGACCATTGTTATTTTTTCGTCGTTTTTTTTTAAAGAATGCGTTGATCATCCTGGAACTTTCACATACACATACTTAGAGTTGCATATATAAATATCAGGATGATTGAATAGATTAGAGTAATTCATTTACCTAAAGGCTAGAATAAATCAAGTAGGGGTGCTATAATTATTTGCATATTTGTCGGAAGAAGCATAATTTCAGCCATAAGTTTTCATAACTTGTCTTCAAGAAAACCTTCGTCTTCCAGGGCATAGTTTCTCTGATTACTCTTTTTACGTGGTGTGGTTTGTTAACCTCACGGCCAGGCCTCTTTTATCTGGGCTTGGAACTTGAAGTAACCCCTAAGGGGGCTGCAGACGGAGTTCACATCAAATCTATAAAATCGCCATACTGCAATAATTTATAGTGTTTTTTCATAATTAATTTAACTGTTTCACAAACCAAATGGAGATTAAATCTATTTACAATCGAGTTACTTCGTTCACTTTTATAGAAGGCATATCAACTCTAACTTGCTAACCGTCCTGCTTACGTAATTCAAATATTTCTGATAATACCTGAACCAATAAATGAATGGTTGTATGTTAAGACTGTAGATTTATAGCTAACAACTCTGCAAATAAGAGGAGTATTATCAGACCTAAGAGTAACATTATTCCACGGTGTTTCTCAAAATTTCTGCATATTATTCGTATTTAAAAGCCATTTCATAACACATTAGAATTTGTAATTATTTTTCCTCTCATTTCTGTAGTAAAATGTTTTCACTTTTTGTTATTCCACATAGATGATCATGGATTTAAACACATTTCTACATAAAGCGGTTCCTGATACAAAGTTAACAATCAAAAAATATTTAGATGTCAAATTTGAATATTTGGTATGCGAAGCGTTACTAATTTTTCTTACTTCAGCTCGTTCTGTCCTTTTTAAACTATGTATTTGACAATCAATTTGGGTTTGAATTTGTTTTCGTTGTTGAACGTAGGATAGTGTGAACTTTCTACTTAAATTTACTGAATACCATTGATTGATTTCTGTCTTGAATTCGGCACAAGTATCGGTTATCTAAATACATTATTTGTCTTACTTTTACATACAAGAAATAGAAGTCAACTGACAAACATGTGAACCAAAACCAATAAAAATGGATTAGTTTGTTCAACCGTTCTGTAACTACACAGCTGAACAAACCTAATTATAATTAAAAGCCTCATTGATTTCAACAATCTACTCTGTTACGAAAATTCTCCGGTATGACCTATGTTGTCAATATCTGTATTTATTATAGTTCAAAGGAATTGTGGAGTATGTTTTTTATATTCTTTAGTATCTTGAATAGATATATTGTCCTGTCAGGTGTAATATTATCTAATGATATTTCTCATACACTGTCTTCTCTCAAAATATCCTTGAACAACTTAATTTACACTTTAAGTTGGAGTAGTTGTGATTGCTCTTCTCGTATGGTTTAATTTTTTTCTCACAACTGAATAAGCATATGGAGCAGCTGACAAGGTGATCTTAATTCAATGGTCACATGACTGAGATAATACTAAAAGTCGATCTTGGCTTCAGCTTGTTACTACATTGTCACCATTGTTACAAGGCATAACCTCCACTCAGAATTTTCACTCATTATGTTAATCCATGTCACAACGGTTGTTGAAGCTAGCCAACTACAAAGTTGCATAACAGTTCACTACCTACTGATGAATAGTTTTGAGCTTAATGTCTATAAGCTCTAATAGAAGGCCTTGATTTATTTAGTTAGTCCGCTTGGAAGTAAAGACAGACACACGCAGATGATATGTGATGATAACGTTTGTACCAATTGATATTAAAAATCATAGTGTTGTTCAGTTAATAGAATTGTGACGTCTCTGTTGTAAAACCTAAGGTAAGGATTTAACTTCCATTGTGTATTAAATCAAAGGTAGACCTTTTTAAGCAGTCAGAAACTAGATTAAGATAACCTCTGGACATATTGACTACATATTTTTCTGTAGTAAAAAATTGCTGAAATAAAATATAACTGACTTGGAGTATTGGTGTAGTTGTTAAAATACTTGACTTTCAACCACTGGGTTCTATATTGCACCCTTTTCCATCTACTATGATTTCCGCATTCGGGTTGCCTCAGTAGTGCTCCCAGGTAACCGACAACACAAATATGTACTTGTCAAATTAGTTTAAAACGCAAATTGGTATAACTTTCAGTTTACTTCTAATAGGACATTCCTGTAGACTGAATGTATTACAACTTAATATTCTAGTTGTATGTATCTCCAAATAATCCACTTTAAAATACGGCGTCTCGTTTGTAAAAAAGGATATATTTGTCAGAGGTAGAAAAACTAGCTAAAATTCGGTATCATGAGAATCTCAACAAAGCCCATCATATTACTCTTGGATGATCAATAGGTTTTTATTGTGTATATTTTTCGTGATTGACTGACACATCCTTGTTATTTTTTATTTCATCTCCTTTTGTTTCGCTAGTCTTATTGTCTTAAAGTAAAGGAAATGGACGATGAAGAGTATGGTTTTGCTATGGTTCAAGAACCACTATATCGTGTAGAAACTGGAAATTATGAATATAGACTTGTTTTAAGATGTCGACAGGATGCACGTACACGGTTTGCTAAGATGCGCAATGATGTTTTAGTAAAACTAGAATTATTGGATAATAAACATGGTAAACAGTGTATTTATTTTCCTTTTTTAATTACGTTCAACCTCTGGTAATTTATTGGATTAAATTTTAGTAACAGTGGAATAATAATTTGGCGTGTATTCCATTTTCTGCACTCATTAACAAAGTGTGGATAGACTTATTTTTAATATGGAGACACTTAAACTATAATTCAAGTAGCATGGTTCCTAAGTAGTTGAGTTAACATTTGTAGGTGAATAATCATTCCACATTGCTGTATAAACGGTAGAGTCCTAATCAAGCCCATTTAAACTGTTACCGAGTTCAAAGGTATATATATGTTTTACTTACTACTTATGTTTACCGACATAAGTAGCATGTAACACTCATCAGAAGTGGAATGCCTGGTAGCCAAAGGTTCAACAGATCGAATTGAAGAGGATAGAAGTGTAAACAGAGAGCAATTGTAATAACAACAGAAATGAAGGAACGATGAATTTTGTAAGAGACAACTGATGGAAGATGTGTAAATGAAGTATTTAATGTATGGTTTTCGTATTTTACGAAGACATTCTGTAGTTTCGTATTGACTAATAAATTCCTCTTCCCCACCAAGTTTTTGTTCACTACATTTGGTGTCGCTGCAAAAAGAGAGGTGAAGTTTTGTGTACGCCGTTACCGGGTTAAGAGAGGAGGTGCTACTTGGGGCTGTCCGGTTCAGGAATGTGACGTCAAGCGGAGTGTTCCGGCGGGGTGGTATTGGCTGTAGAAGTCGCTGGGAAGACGTCGTATCTAGATGGCCCGGAAGGCCGATATTGCTATGGAGGTCAGTGCGCCGGCGAATTCTACATCTTGATGGGGAGCGCGGCAAAGGAAGTGACACGGAGAGTAGAACAACCGCAAGATCGACCGTTTAAAGTGGGAACGAGTGTGGCGTATGCCATTTATGTTTGTCGACATAAGTAGTATGTAATACAAATTAGAAGTGGAATGTTTGTCAAAAGAAGATTGAAATAAAGAGGAAAGAGAAGGAAACCAAGGAATTGGGAGAATCATGAAGGATGTAAAGGACAACTAAGAGATGTGAAAATGATGTATTTGCTGTATGATTTTCATATCTTACTAAACCACTATGTGATTGTGCATGAATAATAAATTGGTCTTCCGGACTCCAGTGTTCGTCCACTACAGTTTTACACTTCACTGTATAGAACCGTAATTAACACTCAGTGAAAGATGGAGAAATTGCTTAGTTGCTAAACCGCTTGCCTCTCAATTTTTATGTAACAGGTCTGAACCGCGCTCCACGTTCGGTTTAGATAACCGAGTAATCTTTACAGTACATGCCTAAGTACTTTGATTCGAATCCCGAAGTATATTAACTCGTACTTGGCAGTTGAGTCACACTACACTACAGCTATTATAGTTCAAAAAATCACCTACCGCTTTCAAACATGTATCGTCGTATTTAGTCTTTAATTGCTTAACCCATACCAATCACAGGCAATGATATTAACTGTTTTATCGGACTTCTATTGGCATCGCATATCTTACAAAACTGTTATTGTATTATGAAAGCCTCTGGGATTAATTTTTGACGGTTTTGTCGGCAATTATTTGGTCAGGAAAGTTGCTTCTGTGTTATGCTAAATATATAATATTGAATAAAGTGATTAATAATAATATTATTAGTCTTGTAAATAAAGTTGTAATATGTTGCACTATAATTTTCCCCGTGGTTTATAAGTGATCAGTTAGTTGATCTATGTAATTACAACAATAATCTGTTTAAGTTAGTGTTATAAAGTACTGGTTTCTTCACATTGTGACTAGTAGGGCAAAATAATTTACGTAACTTTCCAGTTCTAGTTAATATTGTATTTACTGTTTCTCATTCACTTAGTTACTAAATGCGGTATTCATGAATTTCCGTTTGACGGTAGTCTAATACAACTTTATTGACGTTATGAAATTTTTCCTTTATATTATAACGATCGTCAAGATTTCGGTGGTCGAAAATCGCACTGTTTTTAATCAGTTTTGTATGAACTGGTTTATACTGCTCTTATGAGGTATGTTGACTTGGACGGACGCATATATGTGCCGGTCCTATGTTTTAGATGACTGACTGATATACTGGTTCTACCATGGCTAGATATTTGCCGTATGTTGGAATCCATTTTGTTTTCGACGGAGATATCCCTACTTTCAACAGCTGGTTGACTAGTGATGGTAGACGACGTCATTCTCATATCGTGATTTGATTTCTGAGCGAACAACATTCCCGATGTAATAAAGTATCTTATTAGTACTCTGAAGACCGAATGCGAAATTAGACACTGATTAACATATGATTCAGAACCCAAATCATGACATGAACCAACTATTGTGTATATGTTATAAATTAGATCTGGAACTGAATATAATGTTTTACGTGTAGTAACCAGGCTCCTAAGTGTCTACGAATTTAGACATACTATTAACGTATTTCTTGATACCATAAAATTAAACTTTGTTAGGTATAAGAAGCTTTTAGGCTGAATATTTTGTCAACATGTGCATTCTAAATAACATACCAAACAAACTAGATATCAATTTTTCGGACTACAATGACTTTTTTGTACAATGTCTTTGGATCCTTAGAACTATAGTATTCATAGTTTGCCACAGATTTCTTATATGATTAAGTATGCAAAATGGGATTATATTTTTCATATTTGTTTTGAACTAACCGCAGTCGGTTTTTGTTCTTTTCCGCTTCACCAGTACAAGATGTCGTGTTTGAGTTACAACGTTTCATCGATGCTATGGCCACCTACCATGATCAATGCTATGGTGTCATGAAGCAAATAAAAATTTTTCCACTTGAAGTGGATCTGGCAAGAGATGCATTTGCGTACAACCTAGGGATTTTTAATACAGGCGAAGATGAAGGCGGTGAAGATATTGATGAGGATGTAATCAACACTGAGTCAGTTGGAGAAAAATCTGTCAGTAGCAAGTATAACCAGTTAACTGACGATGTCAAATTAATAGACCTGGCAGGAATAAATTCCAAAAGCCTATATTCTGAAAATGAGGGTGATGATGAGGTGTTAGATATGAACAACTGGAACTCTTTATCTACTTGGGGTCCTCATACAGGTGACAGTAAATCGAATAAACAGGAGGCTGTTACAGACTTGCTTTGTTTTGACTAGTTATCGTTCTGCTTTACATCATTAGTGTACATATACTATGAATACCTTTTTTAATAAGTATCTTCTGTAGTGATTGTACTGCATTCACTAAAAATGTGATCTAATAATGTGATATTTCTGCTTTGCTAAATTCCATGACTTAATTTCGTTTATTATTCGGTTTTGTGTTTTTGTTTACTCTTTGTGGAACAATACATATTAATAATTATCATACACTTCTCTTGCTACAGTTTGTTTCATGTCTGAGGGGAGTGGTTGTGATCATGCGAATATTTTTAATCTAATATATTGTTGAACAGTTTGTTCATTCTAATAAAAAGTTTCGCTACTTATTGTCATTTATGGTTTTCTACAGATATTTTACTTGTGTACCATTTGTATAGCAGTCGCCTATTTCTTCCATCGATCTGGAAATTAATAAAACCCGTGAGGAAAGGACAGACAGTATTGTTACAAGTTGATTACACCTATTGTGACTGCTTTGAATATTTTTAATAGCAAAAACTTTGAACAATCTGCTACATAGTATTTAGTTGAATAAATACAAAACACATTGGCTCAGGTTGACGCACTTCTCGACAGCATACAATTGAAAAGTCAATATAGACGTAATAGCATGGAAATAGGGAACGTGTGAAAAAATCGTTTCGGATAAATAAAACGTTCACTATTTATAGAAGGGTGAAAAGTGAGTTCACCTATCATTCCGACTCTGACCAATCCCTCTTAGGGTCTTCGGTCGTTTGCTTCCATCACTTTGAGAATTCTACTCAGGAAACCTGTACTGTTTCACATAAACACAGACCAAAAGTTAGTATTTTAATGGATTATTCATATACCTAGTTCAGTAACATTGGGTGAATATACTCGTTTCCCTACGACTATTTGTATATTGGCGAAAGTCCCTCATATCCAGTATATCAGTATACAGAACGCATAAGCCAGCCAGCACAATCAACTGCCTCACAACTTATTTTAAAATGACGTGTTGATGTTTATTTTTGAAATAAGCTTACAGATGAGAGATTCATGTTTAGTATCTCCAGGTTGTTGTTCAGTGCTTTTTGAAAAAGGCTTATGATGTCTTCAGGCTTCAAGTTGAGGTTAATGTTCATAAGCCTGATACGACGACAGAATGAAAATATTTCTGTTTGCTAAATCATACAAGTAGCTGAGAATATATTACTACTACACTGGATACTCTATTGCTGCGCTACGTAGACTGGGTTAGCGATTATACCAGATACACGGTTTGTGACCCAATTTAGAGAACCGGGGTATGGACAGTACCTTATGCAACACGACTACAAGCGATATGCATTCGAAGTTTGGGGCAGAAATCAATGATAGAAAGGAAATTACATGTTTGACAGTAAATGATCTAGTCTTTCCACGCTCAGTGGTTAATCACATCTTACTTTCACCGGCCGCAAATCAGAGCTGTTTACGAATTACTGATAAGTTAGGTAATACTAGACATCCACGACATTTTATCTGTAAAATCGTATACACAACTGGTGATTACTACTATGTCATAACCCCTCACAGTTAGAAATTGGCGGAACTATAGAAAACACCCTGAATCACCCTAGTTAAGTGAACAGTTACATTTAGAATATTGTATATGTCGTAGGAACACAGCAAATATTCATGGCCTGAGACGTCAGTTTTGAATAGCGTCTATCTTGATAGCCTTTTGGATCCGGAAACCTCCAAATGCGTTGGGAAGAGAATGAATAACAGAAGAGTAGTCAATAGTAGATATTCGTGTCGTAAACACAGAAATTAGTTTCCTAAGGAATTCAGGAACCCCAAGTGTTTGCACAGACTTTCTGAGGATATTGATTGTTTAGTCTATCATACATTACGGTCTATGAATGGGAGTGTTAGATCCCCAAAACTCATATTTTGTAATCATATCTTTGTGGAGCTTGTATGCAGATGTATGCTTGGGCATTTCTTACCACCCACGCACATAGTCGATTGACGAACTTATCGATTAAATGTTTAAAAACTTCCATGGCGATGTCGATTATATATATTTTGTATAAATATGCCTGATTTGTGTGCTTGATGAACCTGGTATCTTCGGGTTGTCTGTAGAATACACTTTATTTATCTTACCAAGAATTCTGGATCGAGTTAGCTGAGTCGGAGACAACGGACCAGTATAGACTATCGAGTCTCTGAATCCTTGATTCTTCGTTCCGTTCCGAGTAAGACGAATCACCAGTAGCATTCAAGCTTAACGAACATAACAATTTGGCGACGTGGATATGATTTGAACCCACGCGGTGAAACCCCAATGGATCGCTAATCCAGAAGTCGTGGTAAGATGTAGAAAGTGTATTCTACAGACAACCAGAAGATACCAGGTTCATCAAGCATACACCTGCATACAAGCTCCACAAAGATAAGATTACAAAATGTGAGTTTTGGGACATTAGTGGGGGTGGGCATCAGTTTGATAGGTTGGATATTCTCAGGATCCGGTCTGCGGCCGTCGGCATCGAAAACGAACCAGACTGCAAATAAAACTGGCATTTCTCTGGGCGTAACCGGAACCCGTTGTCACTGATGCGTTGCAATACCAATGTCGTGCGTCCTCGTAGCTGTTCTAATGTCATCGCTACAATTAAAATGTCATCCACATAAGCCGCGACTCCCGAGATACCTGGAAAATAGATGGGGCAGTTTTGCCCCCGAAAGGTAGACGGTATTGATAGTTAGCAGCTCTCTCGATGCTTCATCTACTTCCACTTGCAAATAAGCATCAGCTAGATCCAGTTTAGCGAAAAACCTTCCCCCATTCAGCATGGTAAATAGGTCTGCGGGAACAGGCAGGGGATAATGATGTTGTTCCAGAGCTGCATTGAGGCCTGTTGAAAAGTCAGCACATGTACGTGTCGTGCCGCTAGCCTTCTTGATAACAACTATGGGTGCTGCCCATGCAGAGTAGGAAACGGGAGTAATAACTCCCTGTTGTTGAAGGCGATTCAATTCTTCATCTATTGTTTGTAATGTTGCATAAGGCACAGGTCTCTTTAGACGAAAAGCAGGCTAAGCCCCAGTTTTCAATCGAGGCGTTGCTTTAATAGCAGAGCACCGACCCGATTCAGGTTGGAAAATAGTTGAAAACTGCGTCATTAAGTTCCTCGTATATGCTCCCAAGCCATATGGTTGTTGTCGTAGTTAAGGTTGTGATACCATGTTGCATATGGTATTCAACGGAACATCAGCTCATTTTAACTGATCGAACCAATCTAAACCGAGTAAATTTAGATCAGCTGGCGTTATGTAACAATCCTCAACAAACGCCGAACCACAGAAAGTAACTGTACATTCCATTTGTCCTAGCAGGTAAAGGTAATTACCACACGCAGTACGAGGCTTTTGCATTGTACGCTGCAAGTTTGGGCTGCCCATTCTGGTCCAAATCTTACGTGGGAGAATAGTGACATCTGAAGCAGTATCTGTTTGCAATCTAGATGAATACCCTTTAATATTAACAGTAATAAAGTTTCTCTCACCTGGTGATGAGCTTTGACGCGAAGATACTAAGCTCAAAGAATTGGTGTGGGATGAAGGAAGGGTCCCTTTGGTATTTCTGGATTGACTTGGATTCTTTTTCCTCAGACAAAACCCATCCTTATGACCGATAACCTTACACTTCTTGCATCCATGTTGCTTAAATGGGCAGTTTCGAACGTAGTCCCATGCACCACATTGCCAGCAAGGAGTAGGGGGATTCGCTTTAGTCTGTCGTCCCGAGCTGGAGTAGGATGGACTGGATGAAGCAGGGACGTGTTTGCTTTTGTAGGGCATCTGTTGCACCGCTCGTACTTCAGATCGGCTAGACCCACCACTCTGGACCATACAAGTGTCTCGTTGCAGATTAGTGAGATGTTGATATTCATTAGCTATATCACTCAGGATGAGTTTCGGCTCTTGATCCAACTGACTTAGTAGCCTTGTTCGTAAGTCACTGAACTTTTGGTGCTGCAGGCTGCAAATGAGGATCAGGGCTTTAAACCGATCTTCAGTCAAGTACTTTGACCAGGAGCGTTCGTATTCACGGTTGACGACGCCCACATGCGTAAGAAAATCATCATATTCGTTCATAGTTAGCTTCAAGCATCGATAACGAGTATTAAACAGTGACGAGTTATCGCCAAAATGTTGGCTTAATGTCTGAACTGTGTCTGTAAATGATCGGTCACGTGGGTTCAAAGACAGGATCAGATTGCAATACTTGTCCAGCTCAGTTGCACCCAATTTACAAAGTAGCAGCCGCACTTTCCAAGCATCATCTTGATTGGCGAAATCAAATATAAATAGATCTTCATAACGCCTGAACCACATCTTAAAAGTAACATTAGCATCAGGATCGTAATGGAATTCATCTATCCTATTTGAGATGCCATCTACTGATGGTGCCGTGGTTGAACTAGACGTATTTGGTTGTGAGAGAGGCGTAACCTTAGCCGCTGGTCCTCCATTATGATTATTACAGTGTAGTAAGACTGAGATTTGATAGTGCCAATTTTGAACTAACTTAACGTCAGAAGTCGTCCAGATGAATCCCAGCTACTAATCGTTGATTTGCAGATACTAACAAATGCAACGAAAAGATGTCCAACAGAGGAATGGACTACCAGATACGATTAGGAACTCAATTGCTCAAATTATCTTTATTTCATCAGTGGTATCGTAGAGGACAGCTAATCTGCTTTGTGCGAACTGACGTTGTCTTAGTGACTCTTCACAAGTTCCTTAATATATCATTCACCAGATTATTCTTCGCATTAGCTTAAATGAATTGTACTGAAAGTTACCCACAAGTGTATAATAGCATTATTTTTGCGCCAACGAATGCTAGCATAAGTAAAAGAGTCCAGTAAATGCAATAATTTGTGGGTAGTCCGAAAGATAAGTCGACTCCAGGTTAGATATTAAATGAAATTCAGATCAAGTCTACTAAAATGGCAAACCATCCGACTGGTCCATACACTCTCGGTGTAGTTGGAATCAACTCAGTGTCGTTACCTGTTCTCACTGTTACAATAGCTTACTAGTGTTTTCAAGGAGTGGACAATCAGTGTACCAATATACGAACCCACTCAGGCCTGTTACACACAGTTTGGAACGCAATTCTTATTTAGAAAACAATTCCATTCTAAGTGGTCGACGCGTTTGTCGCGAAAGCGTTAAATATAATCTACTCAGACTCGAACTCTTGGTGTCTACATGCGTATGGAAACTAAGTTGGACGAGTACGCTATACTAGTTCTCGTTTAACATGTCAGGAATCCAATATAAATTCTCAGTTGTGAATGAA